TGTAACACGACGAGATTTAGTATCATGGACGGCCTGAAATAAACACTAATTACCTTCAGTCGATTTTAAGGCTATAGGTAAATCCGGATCAAAAAACTCTGATCCATCAGCTCACCTCTTTAAGTGCATTCACTCCCATGCAATCGATAAATGACATACAAGAGCAATCAATTATAAGAAATCTCATGCTCGATACCTCCTTAGTATCGCATCTGTCAGTAACCTGAAGCAATAATGAGAAATACTTTGATAGGAATATCGACTGTATAAGTATAGAATTGGTCACTAATGGGTCGGTTAACTTGAAATTATTTTTTGTATGATAATTACGGGAATGCAATAATGAGGTGATTTATTTCTATTTCATCGAACATAGAAATGATGTATTGTCGAAATCAAGAGCTTAGTGATAGAAACTTTTGTAGGCCATGGGAAAAGCGATTGATTTCTGATGGTTGTATGAAAATAGAAATGAGACCGAGTCATTAGTATCTGAATCACTGTCACTCCAGCTTTTCATCTGCTTCAGGATCTTAGCTTTGAAGTTCTCAACATTCGTGAAGAATAACGGTGAATCGAATCGGAATATATGAATATCCGGATATTGAGAGAGAGCTTTATATTTTTGCAAGTTCTCAAAATCTTCTCCGCCCCCTGTTGGAGCAAGCGTTTCGGATCTAGGCCTGAAATATTCAACTGAATTATGGAACCGTATAATACGTTGGGTCAAGTTATGCTTAGTTTGATATTGTGAAATTTTACCGATACGAATGTGTTGTGTGGTACTGTGTTTTTGACTAATAATGATTTGATGATATTCAGTAGTTTGTATCTATATGGGTCGGAAGACGCATGTGGAAAATAATATAAGAAATGAATGAATATAAACTTATTTATTATTGGTTCGATGGTAAAGCGATATGAAATCGCTCCCGAGGTAAATTTCATTTTGAAAGATCTAAAGGGAAAGACTTCAACGAACCATTGTGATCGAAAAACGATCGTCAATAAAGCGAAAACGATCGATATCGCAAGGCCCAGCATAACGTCAATCGCTACTGTTGAAACAAATGCCACAAGCCAGATCAACTAGAAATTTTTGAGTTTTGCAGCATCTGATGAAAAAATTCATTGAACTGTGGAATTTTTATGAATTCATCAAGCTGAAAGTCAATCTTAAGATCGAATTATATCAGCGGAGCTTGAAATGCATGTGTATGGAATGCAATCGAATAAATGAATCGCATTCGTTACAGAAACTAACACAATCAATTTTAGAAGCACCCCAGAGACGCTTCAAATCGGCGAGTTTTCGAAACATCGCACGAAGTGCCATGATAATAATCACTGCTAAAATACACTGAAATGATTCGTGTTGATACTTAAACTTCAATAGACATTGTGGTTTTTGATGAACACAGCTGAAAATGTAATCAGATCCCTTCCAAATTTTGATTTATAGTCAATTTTGGTCGTAAGACATCATTTTGCCCTCTCTCATGCGAA